AATCCCGCAGAGCGTCTGGTGGGTTCAAACCGCCAATCTTTTGCTTAGTCGCTGCGCCCAGCCGCACCAGTGCTCCTCTCAGTTTTATAAACACATGCTTAATAGGAATAAAACTTAATGGGCTGTTTAAAAAAACTGGAGACGTGTTTTAGTTGTATCAGGAAATATTGAAAAAGAAACATTAGTCTTCATTTTTTTTTTTTTCCAATAAACTCAAAATGCAGTCTTTTCAGAATACTTTGCAGGACCTGATTGGAGTTTAGGATTACCCCTCTTCTAAACAAAGGTGAGCTCTGGTAGCATAGTGGCTAAGACACTTGCCTGCTAACCAGACGGCTGGCGGTTCAAACCCACCAGCCACTCCTCGGAAGGAAGGTTGGGCAATCCTACTTCCGTAGTGATACTGCCTCGGAAACCCAAGGAGGGGTCGCTATGAGTCAGGGCTGACTTGACGGCACATAACAACAACAACAACAACAAACAAAAGTGAAAGCGTTTGTAAGCTAGCGACGACTGAACGAGGTTGCTTGATTGATATTTGGCTTGCATTTCTGCAATCGAAGGTCAGCTAAATTTGATGGCTTGTGTTATTAAAAATAAGGCTCTAAGACGCTGGGGATTCCAGTTTAGCTCTTCAAATACTGACAGCCACAGATTGTCGCTTTGGACAGCAGGTTGCACTGAGATGGGGGTGGGGGACTGATAGAGATGAAGTTGTATTGCAACTTTGTATTAATGGTTTGGGCTTGTTTTGTCACTCTGTGTGTGTGTGTGTGTGTGTGTGTTTAGGTACATTACTAAGTAATGGAGAAAATCAAGAAATATGAACCAGAACGATTAGAGAGGCTGCTACAAACCAGAAGAAAAAAGGATTCAGGGTGGGACCCCTCCTGGAGTGTTCCTTGCACCTCTCTAAGCCCTTCCTAGGTGATATCTTTGACAATGTAATAGAGGTGGAACTTTGGTGCAGGCAGTTTGTCTTTTATTTATTCTTCCTTAATCTAGGTTTCAAAGCCACCAGCCACTCCTCGGAAGGAAGGTTGGGCAATCCTACTTCTGTAATGATAACTGCCTCGGAAACCCAAGGAGGGGTCGCTGTGAGTCTGGGCTGACTCGACAACATATAACAACAACAACATAGTCTAGGTTTAAAGAGCTCTGGTGGTGCAGTGGTTAAACCATTTGGCTCCTAACCAAAAGGTCAGCGGTTCAAAGCCACCAGCTACTCTGTGAGAGAAATGTAAAGATTTACAGCCTTGGAAACCCTATGGGGCAGTTCCACTCTGTCCTAGAGGGTCGCTCTTAGTTGGAATCATCGACTGGATGGCAGTAGTTTTAGTCAAGTTTGAAAAATAAAAAGAAATTTGTTTTTTACCTGCTCTATCTGTATTTTAAGAACATATTTCTTTAAAGGAAAGTAGCCCAACATTTCATTATTCAAGGTGAAATATTCAACTGGGAAGCTGTTTCAAGGACTCTGTAATCCTGACAGCCTCAAAATCAAGGACGTGACTGAGTGGGTGACCAGTAAACCAGAAGTGGAAAAAAGTAAACACCATTCAGCTTGAAACAAATTGTGTAAAACAAATGGAGAGCAGAAGTCAGATAAGGATTTTGGAATTAAGAAATGCTCTGGACTCAGGTTCTAAGCCACCCGGGTTTTTATTTAGGAAATAAAAGTACTGATACAAGCTATGTGCTCTAAGTCAAATCAATCTAGCTCTGGGTGCCTTGTCTTCCTGACAAGGTTGAGTAGATGAGTTCCTTCTAATTCTAATCATCTGGGCACTGAGAGTCCTAAAGCAAAACTTTTACGTGCTCCTACAGTGGAAGGTCACCAAAGCCAGCCAGCCAGTGGGTAGCGTATCTGATGCTAACTTGTGTTCTTATGTGTATTGAAAAAGCCATACATAACATTTCTAAGAATGAGAGAGCTATTTCATAGTTCCATCCAATATAAAAAAAGATGCTATCCATACACCAATTTTCAAATTTAAAACAGAAGTTTTACCAGTCTTTCAAACTAGTAAATCATACTCAAACACCAAGAGCTTCTACCTCAAGAATGATTTTTCTTAAGAAACACAAACAGTAGTGACCGTTTTTCACAGGCGTGCTCAGCCATCAGAAAAGCTTTAAAAATCCCTATTTAGTATGCATTTATGCAGTGATTACATGAACTTTGACCTCTGAAGAGCTGTAGCAATTAGCTTCAGTGTCCAGCATCTTCTGCTTGCCATTCCCCACTGGCTTCCTTGGGTCTTCCTTTTTCATCTTTCAGTAGTTCGTGCACTAGGAGGGTGTAAAATGTTTAAGTTGGCTTTCCATCTGAGCTATTTGCTTCTGCACAAACCAGTTCCCCCTCCTCCCCCTCTATCACTGTCTGAACAGCCATCTCAGATGGATATTGGGGCTCTGATTGTCAATATTACTCAAAAGCAAATGGATTTCAATTCAATCTTGCCCTGTACTTTCGAAAAGAAGATAAACTCTAATGGCCCAACGAGCTTCATTTCATACATAGCTTGTGGCATCTGAAATAAATCGGATCTCTCTGACAGACTAATTTAATGTTTTTTAAATATTCAATGTAATTTCTTTTAAGTCAAATGAAACCTAGGAGATTGGCAGAAAGCTAGAGGAAGGGATAAGAGAAGAGCAGCTGGAAGCTTAAAAAAAAAAAAAGCCAGGAGGGGAGAGGAAAGTGTTTTAAATTTCCAGTAAACACTGTTTAGCAAAAGAATAATAGGAAAGTTGCCCCTTCCCCAAAGAGGGATGGAACTGTAATTGTTGCCTTTAGCAGCGAGCTCAGATAAACCGCTGGGACTCATTCTAAAGTGACCCATCACTGCATTCATCTCTTCTTGAACTTTCGGTGAACCTGAGATTAAACAGGGGTGAGCAGCTAAGCAGTTTGTTGTTAGCAGCCTTTTCAACAACCCTTTCAGACTGAGTAAATATTGATTGGTTTGAATCTGATTGCCCCAGAGGAAAACACCACGGCATCTGAATAGCCTCCAAAAGTAAACTTTCAAAGGTGAAGACGAGAGCATACTTCAGAGCCACAGCAAGATCTCAACTCTGTCTAGTTTGGGGACACTTGAATTTCGGGAATACTTTGAATGAAGGCAGGAGAAGTGAAGAAAAAGTATTTGAAAACTGGAGCTTTGTATTGCAATTGCAATCCCAGGTCCCTAATTGAGATCCTTGTTGTGCTTTTAAAAATTATCAATCAAATGTTATTTTCTGTTTTCCTGCTTTCAATTACTATTGCTGTCATTTTCAAGGAGCTAACTACTGCCTCAGAGACAAAAACAGTTTAAAAAAAGAGAGAGAGAGAGAAACCTTGAAGGAGAATGTGTTAAATGCCTTTGATTTAATCGATTGGGACAGCTAAAAAGATACAAATGTTTTCCTTGTTGAAAGGTATATTAATGTTTCCTAAATGCATTGCTTGTTAACTGATTTATTCCACGACCTACTGAAGGCTTGGGATGTTTAGCCATAATTTATCGTTCTCCTCTCTCAGCTGCATTAAAACCAGCACCTTGAAGATTGGAATCTCCGGGATTCCAACGGGTCGGGCCCTGCTTTTAGATATTGAAATCACGGCAGTGGCATGCAAATGACACTTTAACACATTAAAGTATTTGGAAACCAGCCATCTGTTTTGCTTTGTGGCCTTACACTAATAAACAAAAGATATAGTATAAGGCCAGGCGGGGAAATGAAAGAAAGAGTTGACTGTCTTTGAAGTTCTCCATCCACTTGAGTCTTTTAGAGGGCAACCCAGAGTCCAGAAGCCGAGCAGAGGACACTGCGCCCTTGATATGGCCGCAGCAACTGTGCCTGCAAACTCCAGGCTTGCCCCCCTTTGACAAGGAAGTGCAGGAAATCTCACGGGTGCTCCAGGAGGCCTGCAAACTCCAGTTTTTGTAGTTTTCTTCCTAGCCTGCCCTCATAAAGCACCCTTTGGGGAGGAAGGAAGTCATATGTCTGTATTTGTTTGTGATGCTATAAATTTTCTGTTCCACTCTTAGGCTAAATTAAAGCCTCCAAAAATGTGTGAAAGTAAAGGAAAAGTGGTTAAGAGGGTTGAGAGGAAAGCTGCTTTGAACTCTCATGTGCGAGTTTCTCTGAGAGCAGACAGATGCAGTGTGGTCAGCAACAACTTGGATATCGAACAAAGTAGTTGGGGGGAAAGGGTTCACCTAGAAAAATATGGTGAACTGAGGGAAGAAATACAATTTTTTCCTGGGTTATGTGGCATGGAATTAGAACTGTGGACCCACTATAGCCATGATGACAATGAAATCAAAGTTGAATCTGAAGGAACTGAGATGGGGATGGGAGAGGACGGTGAGGAGTGGATGTTGACCGGAAGAATTGGAGGGAGGGGTGCAAAGATTTACTGAAAACAGAACACATTCAATTTAAAAGGTGGGATATATTGGAAGATTGCCTGACAGTCAAAAAAAAGGGGGGGGGTCATCTGCACACCAGCTTTATACTGGAGCTAATTAAATGTGAATCTTCTGGCTCTTGGTTCACTGATGTGAAGAAAGACTGACTGAAGACAGTTTCAGCTTTTGAAGGGGGTTCTGTTTATATATATGTCAACATTCAGTTGGAGGTGAAAAGGTTAGCACTTGACCCAGGAAGTATCCACGTTTGTTTCAAAAATAGATCTGCTTCATAAATTTCACCATTCATTTTTTTCATTATAACCTTTGATTATAATAAAAAAGCTGTTGTTATTTTAAAGAAAATCAACCTATTAAATAGACATTGGTGAGGTGCCACACAAGAATCTTGTGAAATTGCACTCATGGGAGGAGCTTCTGCTACATGATAATGGAAAACACTTTTATTAAAAAAATGACCACCTCTTTGAAAATACAAACCACCATTCTCTTTCACCACATGAAATGAATCAGCTTTGTAGGACTCAACAAGTTACAGCCCAAATACACTGACGCTTAAGCACACCTGAAACTTGAATATATTTATTACAGACATCTTAAGACCCGTAACTCTGCTCTGATCACATCACTCCGGCATCTCAGAGCTATTCATGATTGTACAGAAAATGGGGAATATCATAGGCTCACAAAGAAGAACTGATAGAACTCAGTGTGATACTTCAGGAAAATCAAAAAACATTGTGCGACATGCAGAACACTATTCACGAATCACACAAAATACACATTCGTTGCGCCATCCATCACATTAACAATAGAGCTGAAAATACATCATATCCAGCTAAAATAACTGTGAAAGGAAAAAGCTGGTTTGAATGATATCTTTAGGTTCAGAATAATCCAGCATAAATTTTAAATGGAAGGGGGTGGCCAGAGAAGCAAGAAGAAAGGAGTAGGGGCTGGGGGGGGGACTTAGCACAGGAAGCCAGGTTTCTGAACCTTGTGCTCTGTAGGCAGGCCTTCTTAAGTCACTAAAAGAAAGAATCGAGGATACCCTCTGAACCATCTCATTGGGCTTAAATGAAAGAATGCCTTCATTCACCTATAATCACATAAAAAATTGTATCAGCTTTGAGAGTTAGTCCACCTTGTTTTAGTCACTTAATCCAAACATTTCTAGAAAATCCGTATAAAGATAAATCTCTCAGGACAAAGTATTTACAACCAGCAAACTCACACACATGAAACTGAATTAAATTAAAAGATGAATTGTGTAAACACTCATAGTGCATCTTTCCTTGTGAGCTCCTGAACTCTCTCCTCTCTCTAGATAGATATATATGTATCTCCTACTTTTAAGGTCAGGGTCAGGGAGGACTGTAAATATGCAGACAGGTAAAAGATGAGAGAGGCCACCCTTTGACATGTTTCTGCTAGCAAAGACGACTAGTTTCCAAAGGGCATCCAAAAGAACAGTAAGTTCTGTGGAAATATTAAAGTGGGAAAACCTGTTAAAGTCCATAAGAAAATTGATTCTGATACCCAGTCTGGATTAAGAATTTAACCCCTCACAAAGTCTGTGGTCCAGAATTCTCTGGAAACACATTAACCTGGCCAGGAACTCCCCCAGATAGGATCAGAAAGGAAAAGAGAGGCTGTGAATGGAAAGGAAGGTAAGCTAAGAATGTGCTTTGGTTTATAAGCTCCAGCCCGAGGAGAAGCTTGGGCTACGGAGTGTGGGGCTGGGGTGGCCTCAGTGGGAGGTAGTCAGAGTGTCTGAGGTAGAAGACCCTGGGGAAGGAACACAGGGCGAGGAGCTGGACTTCTCTGAGGATTCCTCGGCCTTCTCATCGCTTCCCGGCGGGGTGGCCGGAGAGATGGGCAAGAGGCCCTCCTTCTCTCGTTTCTTCTGCTTCATTCGGCGGTTCTGGAACCAGATCTTCACTTGGGTCTCATTGAGCTGCAAGGACGCGGCGATCTCCACCCTGCGAGCGCGCGTCAGGTACTTGTTGAAGTGGAACTCCTTCTCCAGCTCGGTAAGTTGCTTCGTGGTGAAATTGGTGCGCACAGCGTTGGGTTGACCCACGTAGCCGTACTCTCCAACTTTCCCTGGGGGGCAAGAGGGAATGCGACGAGAAAAAAAGGTGAAGAAAAAATTAAGTCGACATGACGGTCATTTAATCCCTGCACACGTCAGAGCAACAGTCAGGTAAAGGGAAGATCAAGAACTTCTCCGCACAAACTGGACTAGGGAGGGTGAGTGATGAGGTGTTAAAGTGTTAACCAACAGTCAGGCATTAGTTTGGTCAAACCCGTGATTAATGGGGCCTGGAGATACTAACAGAACGCACATACATTCACTGGCTACTTCCAGAACCTCTTAAACTGAGACCATGTGACAACGCACGGGTCCTAGAAGTTCCTTTGCCCCGACACACCTGGGCCATCTCGCTGCCCCACACCACTGATCAAAGCAAGAACTTTTTTTTTTTAAAGATCATTATTTTCTTTCCTTGATAATTAAACATACCAGCTCCTTGCGGTATCATTAAGGAGCATCCACAGGCTGGCAGACTAGAACTGACCTGTTTTGGGAGGGTTTCTTTTGACTTTCATCCAGTCAAAGGTCTGCGCTGGAGAAGATGTCTCCGACGCAGGGGAGCGACAGGCTTCTTGGTGGCTGGCGTGAAGAGGGGACAAGGAGTTATTATACGTGGCCAAGGCCAGGCTCTGGTGCTCTTGTCCATATGAGTGGTGAATGTACTGAGACGAGCCCACCGCGCCCCCGGCATAACCCTGGTGGTGGTGGTGATGCTGCACCATGGGAGATGAAAGATTTCCAGAGTAAACAGCGGGAGCGCACTGGGGGTACCCACCACTTACATCTGCTTCCTGATTTAACGCATAGGGGCTGTAAGATGCGCCGAAGTTCTGCGCCCCATAGCTTGTGCCACAACTTGAGTGGGAGTAGGACACTCCCAGGTTCCCAGGAGTCTGGTAGGTGGCTGGCTGGGGGTGGTGGTGGTGGTGGTGGTGGTGGTGGTGGTGGTGGGGTGGGCTGATCTGCACCCCCCTGCCCACTAGGAAGCGGTCGTCGCCGCTGCTGCAGCTGTTGGCACTGACCGCGCACGACTGGAAAGTTGTAATCCCATGGTCCGAGGGGTAGGCTCGCGCTGAGCAGGTTCCCGAGTCGCCTCCGCTGAGGATGGGGTATTCCAGGAAGGAGCTCATTCTTGCATTGTCCATCTGTCACTGAGTGACCGGGTCCTGCGACGCCCTGGGTGACCGTGCCAACTTTCTCACTTCCTCCATGGGGCCAAAGAAGAAAAATGATATGAATGTACAGTGAGCAAGGGGGGGAGAGGGCGGAGGGCGCAAGGGGAGGGACACGTGACTATGTCAGCCAATGACTGAGCCTCCTGCTAAAGTTTGCCGGCTTGGGCTGTGATGGATCACCGTTTCAGTGGCATTTAAATCCCCAGCGCTCCTCCAGCTAGGTGTCGCGCAATCGCCCCCCCAGGCAGCCCGGGCTGCGGCAGCAACTGCAGCCGCTGCAAACGGCAGATTCGGGGCACTGGGACGAAAGGGAACAGGCTGCTTCGGCGCGCTCCCGAATCCGCTCGCCCCACCCCCGCCGGAGGTGGGGGTTGGGGAACATTCCCCACTCCGCTCCCCTCTCGGTCGTGCACAGAAAGATGAACTGGCAAGAGGTGAGAAGCGAAGCGGGCTCCCGCTCTCTCGGGTGGGGAATCAGTGGGCTGGAGCTCGCGGGGCGGCCGCGGGGACACAGGCCGACCGCGATGCGCGCGCGGAGCAGGAAGCGTAGGGGCCGGCGCCGCGTCCCTGACTTCCCCCGGCATTTTCACTGTACAGTCCCCGCTGTGGGACCATGGGGCCGAGAAGAGCTCAGTAAACTCTGGCGTAGGCGAAGCTGAATCACCGGCTCGCCGAGCCGAGACGGAAGTGCGCAGAGAGCTGATTGAGAGGAACCTGAGTGAACGAGGAAGGGATGGGGGACGAGAGAAGAAACTTCCCCCCTCCGCGGAGGGTCGCCTCCGTGGAGCTTCAGCCTTCCGGTCCCCCACACCGTCGCCATTAGCATGGCAATGACGAGCTTCTGTAATTCGACGCCCAGGGGCGGGTGAGCCCCTGCTGCCCAGCGTGCGTTAAAAGGCCAGAGATGGCCAGGCTCTTCCCCGCCCTCTCCCTTCGCTCTCCGCCCCTTTCTTCCCCCTCCCCAGCTTTGCTCTGGGAGCCCTCCAGCAGCCCGAGCAAGTCCGCAGCTAGATTTTTAGGGGTAGGAGGCGGGGGGAGAGATGACGCTAGCGGACGTGGCCAGCGTGGGGGCCGGACCGCGCGCTGCAGGCCATCTGCCGGCTCCCCAGAACCCAGGAGCCTGCGTACCCGCGAGGGCCTGAAAGAGCAGGACCACAGCTCCAACAGAGTACACTGAACTCCCCCGGCCCCGCCATGTTTCTCTTTTTGAAGGGGAATGTTGTAAGTGGGAGAGCCTCCTCCACCCACCCCTATCCCACATTCTACTGCTCGTCTGGAGTGGGCGTTGGCAGGTGGGAGGGGCGGTGGACAGATGGCTGATGGTGGACTGGACACTTACCTCTTCCCCGACAACACCCCGCCCCTTTCCAACGGACTGTGTAGCTGCTTGTGTTAGCCTTCATGTCTTTCCCTAGAGAGACACGTGCAAATCTCAGCGTCATCCTAGGCCAGGGGTCCTGTTCTCCATCACTCTCGTCCTACTCTGATTCTGATGGGGTCGTTAATTGCTGTTTACTATTAGGTTTGGCGTCACCCCAGGGCTTGTAGAGAGAAAAGGCCAAACGGAGGCCGAGCACCGATTGCATTCTTTCTTAGGTAGAAGAAATCCAGAGACCATCCAAGAAGCTTTGCAGTCGATGCTTTACGGATTTCACTCTATGTTTACAACATCAAATCTACAAGTGATTTTTTTTTTCTTTTTGTGGCTGAGGATTGCATGTGAGTTTGGGGTTTCCACTGTCCTCTTGCTTCCCCTCCCCAAGTTTAAAAGAACTAAGTTTGATTGCTGTAGGTACATTTGAGATGTGTTAGTCACCTTTACAGGCTTCCGTGTTCTGTTCCCCAAATAGAGAGATTCCTCCAAAAACTTCCCCGCTTAGGGGCAAAAAAAAAAAAAAAGCATGCACGCAAACTTTTGGCTCTGAACTCCTTCAGAACCAAAGAGACATTGTCCCCCAAATACTTCCTTTTGAAATGGTATTTCTCTGTGACCTTTGACCCATTCCCACGAAGGGTTTTGAGGGGGCACGGGCAGGAAAGGCAAGATTCAGCTTCTAGGGAATTTGCTCCAGATTTAGCTCCCGGGGAACCTCCTCAAATAGTGGGGAGAAGGCAAGGCGGCCCTCCTGGAAGCGGCTTCCCTGAGAGCCTGCCTTCCAGCTGAATGGGGAAAGAAGGGACTCCTGTGGGGAAGAAGGGGGAATCCGTGCTGGCACTGCAGCGACCTGCTCTCAAGGCCTAAACTCGGCGGGACTTTCCGCCCCCCTTGTCTCATTTTTGTACTTTTGTTGGCCTCCTCAGGCCGAGTTTGCGCGACTCCCTGGGCCACAGGGCACCGGTCACAAAGCTGCCCCTGGTGGCAGCTACGCATCCTCTTTTCCTGGCAACCGGGCCTCCCGCACCTCTCGGGTGCCTTCTTTTTAAGCCCCCTAGGTGTTTTTTGTTTTTCCCTTAGGGTCCCAAGCGTGCACTCGCACACAGGCCCGTACAGACAAGGGCCGGTGACCTTCCCCACCTACGGACTGCCCGGGTAGGCCGGGCTCTCAAAGCCCAAGCGGTCTCCTCCTCTGCGGGCCGCCCTGAGCGCCCTAGCTCCGTGCGGCTCACAAAGGCAGCCTGCGTTGGCCTCGAGCCGGTAGGCTTCCGTAGCTCGGTTCCTTCTTCGTACTTCCCTACCCCCTCTAAGAAATCCAGGGACCCATTAGAACGGATTGGAAACACTCAGTTCTGTGGGCACGCAGGCCAGCGCTTTCGACTCGAGCAAACGTCTTTTTAAACACGCGGGATGAGTGGGTGAGTGGCGACTTTAGTCGCGATTAAAATAATCTCCCAAAAGCGGTATGCTGGGTTCAAAGCGCCTCTTTCTGGGCTCTTCTACTGGAAAGGGAAGGAGCACGGAGGAGACAAAACGCCGCCCGCCGAGGCCCGGAGCTGTTCATGGCATCCGCGGCTCAGCCAAGCTGTTGTTTTAAAAGAGCAATAAAAATGAATTATGACTAAACGCCTTCTAACTTAATGCTTTCGGACGGGGATCCCCGGCAAATACGTAAGAGGATTTTTATTTGTGCATGTGTTCCTGCAATTGATCTCTTTGATGACATTCTCATTCATAGAAAGCGTATGATTTATGAGCATAGGACGAATCGCATCCAGCAGCCGCGCAGCCCTGGCCGGGGCTGGGCGGCCCTGCTCCGCGCCGCGCCTGGGGCCGGAAACCGGCTGCGGTCCCCACATGCCACACCGCCACTGCCAGGATTTAGGGGGTGAAGGGGAGGGGAAAAGTGGGGATCAAACACATGGAGCAAGACAGCAATTTCATTGTAAGTTCCAAGCCTTTGCAGTTAAAAGCCGGGTTGTTAAATTAACCTGTCCCCCCACACATGTTGCTTACACGCTGCATTTTCTCACGGTAAATATAGCCGCCAGCAGAACAGACCTCAGAACGGGAAAAATAAACATGAGGACACGTAAGAAAGGGGGGGAAAAATAGAACAGCCCAATAACACACCCTAGATCATATTTTATTGATATTCCATTTAAAGTGCTTTTTTCTCCCTTTCTCTAGAAATGGGGTTAATTTATAACCTAGGGTGCAGAAACACACTCCATTTAAATCTCAACTTGCTAACCTGACTTCAAAGCTTTAATGATCCATTATTTGCAATGTAAACAGGTTTAAGAATGAATTATTGATTTTTCTGATCCTGAAAAAAAGAAAAAGAATTCTAGAATGACTGAACCAGAGGACTGAAAAGAACCCTTTCTACAGTGCACTTTCTAGCTCTAACCATTGTTTTGTTTTATTTTTGTTTTTCTCTATTTTTTAGGTCTGTTTGCCTGGACCCATCAACAGCTGGGAGACTAATCAACCATTCTGAAAATGTGGAGTTGGGGGGGGGGAGTTGAGGGGGAAGGGCTGGAATGTAGATGTTTGAAACCAATGTGTATAAATAAATGAATGGCTGATAACTTAGTTTTTGACCTGGAGACTAGTAGATTGTTAAAGAAACTCCACGTTCCTGGTTCCTGGAGTGGGAGGTTTCTATAGGCACTTTATTTCTCCACTTTCAAAAGCTTCAGTTTGGCCCTACTCTCTGCCCCATCCTGTTTCTAACCGGTTGAAATCTGTGGCTTGAAACTCTACACTGAAAACCAAATCTATTCCCTTCAAAACAACAACAACAAAAAAAAAAGTCTCAGAAAGCCCTAGCCATTTTCTGGCTTTCTTTTTTGTTGCTGTTTAAGGACGACTTTAAACATGCCCCTTAATAAATATATTAAAAGTGAAAAAAGAAGATAAATTGTGACCAGTATTTTATTTACCAAGTTAGGCTAAAAGAAGAAAAAGAAACCGTTATGAGCCATGAGAAAGAGGGGGAGAAAAAAAATAAGAAAGCTACTTGTAGCAAAGGAGAATTTATTCTACCAAAAATACTCATGACAATGCATCCTAATGTAATACAAAAATAAAAAGAAAGTGAAGATACAATTATATGATCACTTTCTTACAGGCCTCATATATTGCTTTCAGGAAATCACACAGAGAGTGGCTGGGTTAAATTTAAGATAACTAAAACTCCAAAAATCTGTAAGAGATGGCTCTGAAACTGGGTCAGAGGGAATCATTAAACAGAAAATCCTCAATGTTTAAGGGAAGGAGAGGACAGGCCAAGAAGAAAATGAAGTAAAAATCAACTCTCAGAATTAAACAGGCAAAACCACCTGGCCAAAGGGGTTTTTGTTTTGTGATGCTTTGTTTTGCTTTAATGTTTTTAGTAATTCAGATGCTGCAAGTCGATTGTGGTGAGTGTGTCTGTAAAAAAGTCAAAACTGTCAGCTGAAATATCTACAGGGCTGTCGAGGGAACCTGGCAAACTGGGCGACACTGCATCTGAAAGCTGCAGGCAGGAATCTGTGGAGAAAACGTTAAAGTCCTGCAAAGAGGGGACCTCAAGGGCCTCGGGACTGTCATTGTTTAGGCCAGCGCCACAGTTCTGGCCCATTGTTGACAAGCAGTTAGGAACAGTGGGTGACTGGTGCTGAAAATGTTTCAGA